CATTGGACTTTTAACTAAATTTTTATATTGCCAATGACTTATTTGTAATATTTATAATTTTATAATTAGGAAATATTTCATAAATATGTGTTTGCAGAGAGAGATTTTTCAAATGTGGAAAAAATATTGTAGGTTTAGATAAAGATTTCACTCAAATACCTTTTTCACTTCTGTTTTCCCTAAAGAAAAACTGTATTCCTGTTCTGGTAGAAATCATCTCCATATGTCAAAAAAAATCCAAAATGATAACTCAATGTTAGGAGGCCACTGAATGCACCTTCATTTCTCCCACTCATTTACTAATGTCCTTCCAATGATATATTAAGCTCCACCATGTGTTTTGGTCTTTTCTCTGGGTTCTCCATATCATTGTATTGGTCTATCTGTCTAGCCTTAACTGGTACACCACTTCTCATTTGGGACATCTTCCTGGACTGTTACAGCTTTAGAAAAAGCCTCAGTGCAGTAAATTGAACATCAGTGTTATTTTCCCTGCCTTGCTCTTACTAAATTCAAAGATTTTTCCCTATTTTTACTTTAACTCTTGTCTATAAATTTTACTGTCTCTGTATGACATTCAATGATTTCAGAATTTAAAGGTAATTTTAATTGAAATTACACATAAATTTGGGATGATTTGTAATCCTTATTATATTGAATCCTCCCACTAAAAACATAATTCAAGTCCAGAGTGTTAATCAGTTTCAGAAATCTAAAATAAAATGAAAAGTCAAAGATTTTCTTAGTGTAGTGTATGTGTTTGCAAAATCTGCCCAGACCATTTGTTTTGTGACAACACATGATCTGATGTGAACAGAGTCTTTCTAGAGACTGTACCTATCCTACTTACTGTGAATATTTAAGTATTTTGCTAAGAAATAACAATGAACATGAGGACAAAATGATGCTTCCTATTATAAGGTGTGTTTGTTTTTTTAATTGATTTATTATATGCAGAAAGTACACAAATTAAAATTATATAATTTTATAAATTATCACAAAGTAAAAACCCATCTGAAAACACCGTATAGGTCAAGGAAGATAATAAAAAGCACCCAGAATACTTTCCTGTGGCACTTCCTAAAGGAAGTACTATATTGACGCCTAACACTGAAGAATCATTTTCCTATGTTCAAACATTCTGAAAGCATAATCATGCACCATATTAATATAAGAGTAGAACAAACAGGAAGTGGGGTAGGATACAGGCACTATCTCTATAATCTTTACCACATATGTGTAAATCTAAAACTATATGAAAATAAGAAGTTTACTCAAAAATATTCTTAGGTCTGATTTCTTTCACAAAACACTATCATGTTGGTAAGATTTGCTAAGTTATAGACAACAGTATTTTATTCATTTGTATTTAACAGTATCCCATTGTATGAATGTACAAAAAAGTGTTTATTGAATTCATTCATGGTGACATTTGAGTTGCCATTAAGGTTTTTTTTTTGCTATTATTGACAATGCTGATATGAATGAGCATTTTCATACGGCTTTTGGTACAAACATCTATTCACATTCCTCAAAGAAGGCTTTTGGTCATAGAGACTTAATAGGGGAAAGATCTTAAGAACATGTTTAATTCCTTGTCTCACATAGAGAATAATACAGCTTTTTACTTGTTTACAAGTAAGTTTTGGTAGGAATGTGTCTGTCACCTAACTTGTCACACATATTAGCACAAACACAATATTCCCTAATTCTTATTTTTATATTTGTAGGCTTTGTAGTGATGTCCACATTATCATTCTTGACATTGTTTATTTGTGCCCCTGCTCTATTTCCTTTTTCACCTTAAATTTGTCTTACCTGGGCTCTATCAATTCAATATCTTTATAAATATCTCAGATTGGATTTAGTTTTCTCTCCTGCATGATTGTTTTCTATTATATTATTTCTGTCTTTAGCTTTAAAATTTCCTTTTTTTCCTGCCTTTTTGGGTTAAAAAATGCTGGGCATTTTTTGTAACTTTTTAACATTCTTACATTGATTATTGAATTTGAGTGTTACCACTTTTCTAAACATGCATATATTGTTATAAGAATATTTTTGAACAAATCTTTAGATATGCCACAAGTTATGTTGTTTTATATTCCTTATCATTCAATTTCAAATATTTTCTAATTTCCATGTAATATGTTATAAATTTATTGACTATTTAGAAGTATACTTTTCCAAAATATTTGGGAATTTCCTACTTATCTTCCTTTTTTAAAAATAATTCTAACTTAATTCCATTTGTTTGGGAATATGTTGTCACTTTGGTTCTTTGTAATGTTTTAAGACTTTCTCTACAGCTTAGTATGAAGTCAGTTTTCATAAATGCTTCTGGTTCACTTGAAGAGAATATAAATTTTTCCGTTGTTGGGTAGGTGCAGCACCTTACATGTGTAAATTAGATCAGTGGTGTTTTGTTCAAGCTTTCTGTATCTATCCTTAGTCACTTTTGCCTGCTTATTCTTTCAACTGCTCATGGAGATGTGTGAAAATCTTTCACTATAATTTTGTATTTTAGTTCTATCAACTTTTCTTTTTTATAAACTAAGGCTATGATTTTTAGTACATACAGATTTGTAAGTATAATATCTTCATAGTAGATCTATCTTTTTATCATTATAAAACATCTCTAATTCTAGTATATTTTTAAATTACTGCCTACTTTGATATTATGCTAATATACTAGCTGAATTTTTATAATAATTTACATTCAAATTTTAGTTTTTCTATATTCTTACATGTGAAGTGTTTCAACTACAAGTGATCTTTAAAAAATCTGATCTGACAGTCTTTGCCTCTTTTAATAGAAAAGTGTGCTGTACTGCATTTACATATAACTGATTTTACTAGATTCTATTATTTCTTTAGAATTCTTTTTTCTTTCATCCTTGCAATCTTCACTTGAGCTGAGTGTACATAGTGCTTTATTGACTTTAGGTTTCTTCATTTGTGTTTCGACCATAGAGATGTAGGTAAAATATCTCTGCCTCTCACCCACCTACTTTCTCTCTTGGGAACATCATACCCCAGATACCAGGGCTCGTTCAGCCTGAGCCTGTGAATGAGAAGACCAGGGAGACAAACCAGAGCCCAGCCAACAGCCTGCAGCTCAGCGGCCACAGCCGTGTTCTAGTTGCTAATGGGCACTGGGAGCAAGCCAAATATTTTTGCAAGCCATGGAGATTCTGAGGCTGTTTGTGTATTCATACAGCTTTTAAAAAAGATGTTACTCTTTAAAAATGGTACCAGATATGTGGTGTTGCTATGGAAAAACATAAAATGTGTCATTGGATTCTGGGTGGAAAAAACTGTTACAGGAGACTGAACAATGAAGGACAACACATGCTATGTGGTGTTAAAACACTTGGTAAGGTTGTCACCTGTGATTACTTGGAAATAAGACCAGTTATTAATAAATGTATGATTTTGTTAAGTTGCTGTTAAGATAGAATGTTAATCACTTTAGTTGGATGCCTTTAGCTGTATTTAAGTTACTACAAGACAGCAATAAGCTTAAAAAAAATCAGTGTGTTGGCCAGCAAAGATGAGAGAATTCAGACATTCTTTGTACTCATCTGTTTATCAGACTTTAGTGAGGTTAACTTCTCACAGACTAGAAAGGACTGGTTTCACAGCCCTGCCCAACTGCTTGCTGGCAATATGGGGCATTCTATCAGTTAAGAAAGGGTAGTTTAACTTCGGTTACAAACAATTCCAACATGTCAGCCGCTAAAAAACCCCACAAAGTTTCTTTCTTATTTGTGCCATGTATATAACCTGGATGAGTTGAGAGCGCCACTCATCATGGTCCCAGGCACATTCACTTACGCTCCAGACCACTAGAGTTTCCAGTTCACCATATACTTCCATTTGGCAGGGGGGAAAAATGAACATACCAATATACAAATCTCAGGTTAACTTTAAGAAAATAAATAGACCAGTGCGGGCTAAAGGCTGTCAGATATATTGAGTAAAGGCAGCCTTTTCCTGCTTTCTTAAAGCCAGTGTGAATATTCTAGTAGACCTTAATGGGAGCGCTAAATTCTGAGCAGGTTTATTAGCATCCAGCTACAGTGACACATAATTCACTGTTTAAATATTTGTGCATCACGTATGTTTACATCTTAATACTTATTAAACACAGGTATGTTTACTAATCATCCTTTTAACGTCTCTAACGATGATTTAGGCACCGGGCACTGTGGCAGACACCAAAGGGAGGGTAAATAAGGCAGAGTCTCTGACCTCAGTCAGTTTATCATCTCTAAAAGACCTACTGAAAATGCAGTAGCATGAGCCACACCATGCTAAATGCCACAAAAAACCCGCAAAGCTCTGAGCCTGATCTGAGGAGCTCAGCTAGAGAAAGGCTTATTCATCATAATGGTGGTGTTCTGCTTCTTGTTTTCATCTAGAGATTGTATTTCAAGTTTCATGACAACTTCATCCTGACTTGTTCTTAACAGGAAGCTCTGATATACTTAATAACTAATAGTTAGAGAGCTTTAAATATGTGCTCAGTACGTTCAATATGCCTTGGATTGACCATGATTTTTAACTCTAATAAAGAGTCTTTGAGGTATTATCCTATGTTACACATGAGAAATCTTAGGCAAAAAGTTTAAGAAATTGACCCAAGTTCGCAAAACTACAAGGAGACCTGGGAATGGAAACCAAGCAGTTTTAATTAATTAATTAAACCCATGCTTTTGACCACTATGCTGTTACCTGTTACACCAAATCTGGAGAGTTGATTTCCAGTCCTGCTTTTAATAAGTTATAACCAGTTGCGCCCTTGCAGAAATTGTAATTTCTCATTTGTCCTTCAAATTCAGAGATTCTAGAAATCTTCTCTTAAAACATAGTCACATTTTACATTTTACTTTTTTTTTTAATGTAACAGGCCCACAGCCCTGGTAGGGAACATGCTTTTTGTCCTAAGCATCTCTCTCTCTCTCTTCCTCTTTTTTTAATATCATTTATTTTCCCCTTAGGTCTCTACAGAAGAAGGCTTCGGTCTAGCCCGAGAATATAACTGTGCTTTCTTTGAGACCTCTGCAGCCCTCAGATTCTGCATTGATGATGCCTTTCACGGCTTAGTGAGGGAAATCCGCAAGAAGGAGTCTGTGCCATCCTTGACGGAAAAGAAACTGAAGAGAAAAGACAGCCTGTGGAAGAAGTTAAAAGGCTCACTGAAGAAGAAGAGAGAAAACATGACATGATAGCCTTACTTCTAACACCCTTACTCTTTCTCTTTGAATTTCATCAGGTGGACAGTTCCAGATGTTGCATTCTGCTTCGGTTCTCTCTTTGTCTCTGTCTGTCTCCCCCAATATCTGCTGGTAGGTTAAAGCAAGATCTGTATAAACGTACCTCTTGAAATAGCTTTGTTTTGCCCTTAACAGTTGGATGAGTTTTGTCAATCAGCCGGATATGCTGTTTAGTTTTTATAATATATGACTAAATAAAATTGACATTCCAATTGACTCATTTCCCTTCAAAGAGTCTAGCTTCATTTGCTATGCTGTCTGGTTACAGAGGAAACATTCAAAATTGCAGACAGAATGATAAAAGGCTCAGGGGATCTGCCTTTGCCTGATAAGACCCTGGTTGTTTGCATCTCAGGAATGTCAGTAAATAACGAAGCAGCTCAGGAAACCATTTGGAGCAGAAGTCTGCAGCCTGGTATTTCCTTAAATTCGGAAGTTGTGGCGCTGCTTCTTGAATGCTCCATAGATTACCCTTGGAGGAATTATTGACAATGGAAACTGGTTATGGGTCATTGGAGGACTGGAGTAAAATATCCCCATTTTTACAGTGCTCCGCCGCATTAGGTTTTGCCAAAATTATCAGTGAAGTCCCTGGGCTTAGACAAAGGGGTACTGTCTTTGTATCAGGAAGAGGCAGCTACTACAAATTCAGTGGTGCACATCCTCGTAGAAAGACACCCTGGTTGCCGTCAGTGGGGAGTCCCTCCTGGGGCTGCTTCATCTGGGGCGGGGGGTGGGACACGTCTGCAGAGCAAGAGGCCCGTGAACTCTGCATAACCTAAGTTCTTTTTGTATTGCCAAAATGTCCCATCTCCTCCAACTTAAACCACAAAACACTGCCAATCAGGGGGCCTTTTGTTCTTGTTTTACAATAGATCATCACGTAAAGTGAAATCGCCCATCAACTCATTGTGTGAATCGGTTTATTCAAATTCAAGCTCAGGAAAGCACCCTATCAGGAAGAGCTGTTCTGAATGTTTAGTAGACAGATGTTAAAAGGAAAGCGATGAAGGAACAACTAAGCTTGAGAAGGAATCCATCAAACCAGTCTTCATGGGTTGGGGGAAGTTTTTATCATAAATTAGAGAAAAGAAAGGATGAAGAGCTTATTATTCCACATTTGAGCACTTCTTTTGCTCACAGTGCCCCTGGCACTTGCTAATTCCCGAGAATGCAGAAATGAACGAGGGTAACCTAACATCTAGCTGGAGACAACCTGGACCAAAGAACAGGGGGATGATAAAATCCTAGATGGGAACACATTTTACATAATAACATGGATACAACCGGAAAGAATTTAGAGATTATACTTTTTCAACTGGTGGACTGAAATCTTGGCCTTTCAGAATTTGTGCCTGTGGGTTTCTTTCCCACTTGGGGCCAGGGCCTTTCTTAAACCCACAAAGACTTCGCTGTTCTTGCTCTAGGCCCTGGAATCAAGTAAGGCACTGGGCAGGAATTAATGATTTCCTAGTACCTGTGGCCATTCTGTGTCTTTGGATTTTTCTCAACCCTCATCTTCTATGGGATAGGGCAAAAATCAGTTTTACTCTTCCCATATTGCCTCTAAAATCAAATCCATGTAATCTTTTAAAAATGCACTCATAAATAGGGAAGAAAAATTAAAATATTAAAAAAGAACAGATGTGGAGATGACATCAAGATAGGTTCTTGTCAAAGATCTGGTCTTTGCTTCCTTCTCTCCCTGGTGTTTACTAGTTAATTATCTGCCTTTGTCCTGTTAAAATGGGGTTAGTCTATTCCTTGCCATCTGTATAGTCTTTGCCTGCTGCAGCCCCTGCTTCCCAGAATGCTTCCACCTGGGAAGTCCCTGTGAATACTACATTCCAGGGAAGTCCCTGTGAATACTACATTCCACCAGACTCTTCTGTGAGCTAGAAAACATAACCCAGGAAGCTCAGTAGTGGGTACCTAGTTTTATATGATAAAACTGCATTTTTGAAAACCTGATGACTGCCATGTCTGTGAATATTAATAGTGGCTGGTGCATTTTCTTAACTAAGTCTGTGTACATTTTATTGTCAGCTTCCCTGCCTTTGGCTCTAGAGATTTGCAACTCATTTCTATCCCCTTCCATTCTTTATACATCTCAATCTTTAATGAATAATTTATGTGGTTTAGAAGTTCTTAGCAAGATTTAGATTGGGGAACAGTTACCAAATCCAGCCGTTTCATTCTATAGAAGGAAGAAGGACCTAAGTTATTACCTGAGGGGTGGCACAAATCTGAGATTGTTGTCACTAGCAGAGACAAAGGCAAACTTCAAGCATTCTTTTTCAATCAGTCTGGGAGACTGGGCCAGAGGAAATGTGCCAGAAAAATAAAACCTAGGTATTTCTGCTCAAGGGCTAGGGATTCCTTCTCTTTGGCATAAGACCAAACTTCCAGAATCCCATTTCTGCTCACTCTCTCTGAAAACTTCTGACCAGACCTAGGATTTCTAAGTCAGTCTTAAAATCTCAGAGAAGAGAGCCTCATGGGCATGAGTCAGCATTGCCAAGGGATGTGTCAAGAAACTGTTGAAAATAAGAGTAAGTGTCCACGGTAGACAAATGTGTAGTCACCCAACACAATGGATCAAACAGCCTAGTTCCAGAAACCACACTTGTTTGTATGTGGTGTGTGTGGATGTGGGATATGTGTGGTGTGTGTGTGTTTGCTGAGGTGCCAGGCAATTCTGAACACAGTTTCTCCTTTCCAGAAATGTATCATCTATTTTTAGGTATTTTTTCATTAACTTATTTCTGGGCCCCCATGATAAAATAATTTATCAGATCAGAAACCAATGGCCGTCTAAAATATTACATTTTGTGTTTAGTGGGCAACAGTTGAGCCTAGAAATTTCTGTAGAAAATGCCAGTGAGAAAGAAACATGGGCATCTGGGCCAGACATTATTCACGTCACACTCAGATGTACAAGAAATAGATAGCTGCTTTATTTCCTTATAACTCATCTGTTCTTTCTCATGAGTCCCTGACTAATGGGTAAATGGGGGCAGAGGGGACAACATTTTAGTGAAATCCAATAATTTAGTGCTAATCTCAGGCAATCCTATGAGAAATATTTTTAAAGAACACAACCTCTGCCGGGTGAACTTAGGTCGGTGTTTGATCAGAAAGTCCTGCCCTGTTAGTCTCCTTTCACGAGCCCCCCTGTTCTCAAACTCCCCTTGGTTGTGTGTAAGCAGCCTTCCACCATGAGCTAGAAGGGCCTGGGGTGGTGGGATTAGGAAGACGACCCTGCTGTGCACCCCATTTGCTTTATCTGTGCCTCTCTTCTGCAAGCCCAGATGCTTTTCACTTCTCTCAGTAGCCCCGCAACACCATGCTGGCATCCAAACTAAACAAGGCAACAGTATTCGGCTGTTAAAGACCAGAGATGACTACTGGATTTCACCTGGCTTCTGTTCTGCTGAAACACTGAAACACATTGCTTCAAAACAGGGAAACCCCATGTAAATAAAATGATATATATGTTTTAAATACAGAAAAAGCCAAGAGTCAAAAAAAGTAAAGATAAAGGAATATATGGAAAATATTTCAAAACATAATGATTCTTGTTACACATGCAGCGGCTTCTGACCATTTTACAGACATTCAAGTTGTAGTTCTTTCAGTCCAGGTCTTTGCATGGTGCTAAGAGAAACTCTAAAAACCTTCCTGGCCTAAATCCTCTAGTTCAAGTGGCAGCTTGCACTCGAACACTTCTGAGTTTTTCCATTAGAGTTTCTATTTAAGATTAGATGGGAAAAAAATGCAGTCATTCTCTTGGGCCATCTATCCACTATTAAACATAAGTGTAAGAAAGTAGAAACTGTAACCATTAAAATGTAAACAACATACACATTTGTCATAGGATCAACTTGCCACATTTAAAAGCAGACAGGAGGGGCCTGTGGTGAAAGGGACAAAGAGCATGCGAATTTTATGGGTGAAATGAGCATCTAGACCACACGTCATTTCCTGGGGATAACACACAGCCCATCATTCCTGGGAACTCTGGACATATACAAGGACTATACGCTGATAGGCTGTAGAATCCACCAGTTGAAAAATTTAATTCTCTAAATTCTTTCCAGTTCTATTGGTGTTATTATGTAAAATATGTCTCCCCATCTAGGATTTTGTAACCCCACTGTTCTTCAGTCCAGGTAATCTTTATTCATTTCTGCATTCTCAGCAATTAGCAAGTGCCAGGGCATTGTGGGTAGAACAAACAAACCAGAGGCCACGGGATAAAAGGATTTCTAAGGGGAGGAACCGGATGCTGACCATCCAAGCATGGTAGGAAATAAGAATGCAACATGGAACTCACATGGATAAACTATATCCTCTTCTACTCATCCTTCTGCCTCTAATACTCCATAGCCTGGTGTAACTGTCTCCCTTCAAAATACTAGTGCACATCATTAAATTGTATGGAAAAGACAGCACATCATAAGTCGACATTTTAGTCTAATAAAAATGTGGTACAGCCCTGGCTGGTATGGCTCAGTGGATTGAGCACCAGCCTGCAAACCAAAGGGTAGACAGTTTGATTCCCAGTCAGGGCATGTTGGGAACCTTACACCTGGCTTCTAGCTAAAAACATTGCATTGATTACAGGAACCTGTGCGCTCCACAAAGCCAATCGGCTACAGGTACATGAGGTGTGCACGCGCTCCCCGAGCCAATCGGCTACAGGCACATGAGGTGTCCACGAGTACCAGTTGCACCCAAGTAATCAATAAGCGGGCCCTTCTTTGTCTCAAGCTAGCCAATAGCAAGCAACCTAATCTCCTTCCTCTCCCTCCCCCCCCTATATATATACCCAGTTTGGAAAAATAAAGTTTGCAGCTTGATCAGAATCTTTTGTCTTGCTGCCATTCTTCGCGCCTCTTGTCCCCCCAACTCATTTGTTCTAGGTAGGTGGTCAAGCCCCAGTTGATTCCCAGTCAGGGCACATGCCTGGGTTGCGGACCAGGTCCCCAGTAGGGGGCATGGGATAGGCCACCACACCTGGATATTTCTCCCTTTTATTCTCCCTCCCTCCTTCTCTCTTTAAAAATAAATAAAATCTTAAAAAAGAAATCTGGTTCAAAGTTTTAACAATAATGTCAATATGATTTGCTT